TGTTACTCTTCAGACAATGGCTCCCAGAGACATTCCTTAGTACACACTAAAAAAAGTGTGATGTTAAGAGAGCAGGATAATTTATCAGTTCCTTCTGCAATCAAGTCTGTTTTACAACTGATAAGCAAGTTGAGAAAGGTACTGCTCTCTGCATGGTCCTTAGAGTGCATTTTCCAGAGTATCTTCAGCTCTACAACTGTATGACCCCATCCCTTAAGGGAACCTACTTTGCCTTGAAGCCATGTCATAACTGTCACTAAAAGCAGTAGCCTGCTTCTTCAGCAGCTAAGCCAGAGCTGTTTCACATAACGCATGCAGGCAAGTGTGTAAGATCATGCATTAGTATTGGCTCCACATGCCTACAGCACAATGCAAGACCTGCGCTCCTTCTTGGTTTACTGCATTATTTAGTGAAGGTACTTTGTCTTGGTATTCCAAAGGGCATCAAACTTCAGAAGATTATTATCTGCTATTATACATCTTCTCTGTATAATGTCCAAAAAGCACAAATAGAAGGAAGCTATTGAGACATTTCACATTATATTGGCTACCCATCAGGCACTAGGCAATCACAAATCCTGGACAGAGTACAAGCAAGAACAACATGAGCAATTCTACCTGCTGAATATCCCACGTAAATTCATGGTCAAAGCAAAAATTTGAAACAGCAGTTTACTGAGTTCTGTTAATGTTTGTTCTAGTAGCCTTGCTGGTGCAATAAAGCAGTAACCCACTTGTTAGATAGAATAAAGCCGTAACAACTTTTTGCATGGGAACTGTATTCAAAGAGTGTCAAAAATCAGAACATCAGCTCTTGTGTTCTCTATTTCCATCTCTCATTTCTTTTTCCATTTGGGAATACTCCAGAATGCGCTAATAGCATGGTTTTGTTAAGCTATTACTATTTGGTCATGAGCTGTCAAACAAGTAGCTTGCCTTGTGCTAGGAGGCACACTCCAGCCAGCTTAGAGCAGGTGTAGAAACCACAGCCAGCAGCTCACTCTAAGCCTGATATCACCTTGTTGTCCAGTAACCTCTAATAGAAGTAGCCTTCTGCTTGCAAGCTCTGATCACATATTATTTCAGTTTTTACTATATTACTATGTAAAATATGCAACAACTGACTGCTGCTACATTTGAGACTTTCTCATCCAGGCTTTCAGAGTGAGAATAGTCAACCTTTCCCAAAATAGCATACAGTGATATTAGACTAAGCCTGCCACTAAGGGGATCCCAAAATAACTCTACAGTCCTTAGTTACTCTATTTCAAGATAGAATCACCAGAAAAGGCTTGCTAAGACTGCCTAGTACATTGTGACTTACAAACATCACATCACTTTGACCAAATGCTACAGGGAAGCTACAACTGAGGCTAAATGAAACCACAGCTGAGCTTGGAGTAACAGCTATAAGTTTACACTTACAACTCTTACAACAAGCCATTCCAATAAGATATCATTGCTTCTGCAGCTGATACCAAGCAAAATGTCAGAGCAACTACTTTTGTTAGCCCACAAACATGTAAAAAAATTGACAACACCTAACACCCACACAGGTGCACAAAGGTAAAGGTCAGCATCTGCTGCTGCTCCTGAGGATGTCTGTCAAACTCTAAAGGCCACTTGGAATGAGCTCCAGTTAAGATGAAGGTTGGTTCCAGACAGTAACAGGTCCCTGTCTTTCATCAAGCATAGTTCTGCAATGTCAGGTAACCATTTAGTCATGACACTGTCAGTCTAATCCACTGCTATTTGAAGCAACAGAATCATACCTCAGTTGCAGCTTCAGTCACTAGATACAATGTTTTTTAGATCAGCATCAATTAGCCATTAATTCAAAGCTTCTCTTTATGTGCTACTCATACACTGGAAGCACCTTCACACATTTTCTCCTCCTTAGAATATGGCTTAGTAAAAAGAAGTGTTGTAGAGAACCAGTAACATCACTGTGAGAGAGCCTGTGATTGCTAACATGCATTATTTTACTGTTCCCCAGGTAACTACTTACTAGAAGTTGGCTCATAAGCAGAAATGAGTGCAGGGTGAAGGAGCACAGTAACACTGTCTACCCAAGTTAAACTACCTTTCTCCATATCTCTGCTATCACTGTTAGTCTCAGCCCCTTAAGCAAGTTGTCAGCTTACTTGTCTGGGCAGCCTCAAACATGTGACACTTGTGTACTGTCATATGACACCAAGTCCCAGAAAAGCTTTGAACAGTGATTGGGAAACCTTGTGAGAGCATGAACTAGCTGAGACTTTTCCCAGACCCTGGCAACTGTAACTAGTAGTAGAAGAGAGCTGATGGGGTCACTGACTCAAATTGAAAGAAAAGTCTGACCAACTTAGCAGAGTTGCACAGGGGAAGGTATCTCTTATCATCATCTCTTATGATCATTTCCGAGCACACTGCACTAGCGATTTCAGTGCCAGACAGCTTGGCCCTTCATACTCCAGCTGTTTAATCACGTCTGTTGTAGACTGGGCACGGGAGCCCATAACTGGGAATTGAGGGTCGACTAGGGCAGACATTTCTTCTCTTCCTCTTTACATGAGGACTGGATACAATAATGCCCTGGCTGGGCTCTGCCCAACAGACCTGGTGTGTGACCTACTGTGCAAGTTAAGACTATGAGGTCCGGCTACCTCTAAGCATACTTTGCCAACAGAGCCAAGATTTGTCACTTAGGCCTACTTTAGGGCTATACTGAGATTTATGAGCCATATTACAATGAAGACATCAACTGCCCACCTCCCACCTGAGAGTAGCCTGGACCTCAGCGCCCAAAGGAAGAAAGGAGTCAGCCAAATGATTATTACTTCCAGTTAAGGGGAAAATATTTTCAAATGACCATCAGTAGCCCCTGTGCATGACCACTACCACAGGAGAAACAGCTACTACGCCGGGAGGCAGCCCTGGAGCTGGCCACGAGCAGCGCTGCTGGCGAGCGCCCAGCATCGGGAGAAGGGACCCGGCGCTGGCAGGGCTCAGCCTGGCCACCAGGTGGAGATCCCTCATGGTGGTTTCACCCCGGGCCCTGATCTAGAGCCATGCCAACACCGCTGGATAACACAAAGCCGAAGTTGCACCGTAGTTTGACAGCACCTTTAACGCCGCAGGCTTCCCAAGCGCTCCTCTTCCTCTCCACAGCAGAGCTCCCATCCTGCCCAGACCTCCGCCGTAGCCCCCAACCACGCACACCCTCCCCTCAGCACGGAGCAGGAAATTAGG